ATTGTAAACTGTGTGTGTGTAGGCATGAAGGGAAAAAGCACCACCAATAACAAAGTCCCCGTCCTTTGAAAATGCAGGTAAACGAGTGCTTCCTTGCAGCTTGCATTTCACAGATGATACTACCCTACCAGCCCAAGCCCCTGTAGACATGGTTGTTTGAGTCAGATAAGCAGCCAATACCAGACCAATTAAAACAGCTGATTTTTCCATCTCTGTCTGACATCCAGCTTGTGCATATGGGCGTACGTTTGTTTTCCCTGGTTTATATAAGTCTTTGGAGAAATCTTTTTTCTTGTTTTTTTTTATCTTCTCAAGTACATCCTCTTACCAAGTAATTTTTTTCAAAACCCCCAGATATTAATCATATTCTATGCCGTCCCAGTGTGGTTTGGTGACTTTGAGTTACCTAGGCCAAAAATCATTTCATAATTAGTTTAACTTAAAAAAAAATGATATATTTAGAATGTATAAATAGCTTGTCTCACATTAATAAATTGATCATTTATTAATTATCCATTGATCCAGAACATCCTAAATGTACAAAAAATTAGAGCACTTGTATAGCAGTATAAAATAAGAAAAAAAAGGTATTTAATTTTTGTGTATTTATGTCACTTCTGTGAAACATCATCAGATGTCAGGCAAAAACAAATAAGGATTTCTTTGCTGTCAAAACTGTTCAAATTTTACCTGAAAATTTTGGCTATCAATAAAAGAGTAAGATGAATCATGTAATGACTTGGATGTAGTGATAGAGATTGTCCCCATGGGGGAGAGATTTGTCAATGGAGCAAATGTTGATGATTGATTTGTAGTTGCAAGGAATAGAGAAGCTAAAGATGTGTTTTACAGATAAGATATTAAGGAGAGAAATGCAGGAAAATAGATGGTGGTGGATTCTGCAGAAGGGATGCAAATGACTATGGAAATAATTATCAAGAGACACATTGTGTACCTAAATAGACACTGAGGGTGTAGTATTAACATCTGTATGGCCTAAGGCATCTTTCTACATCATTTTCAATTACTATCTCCTGCATAACTTTGACAGTATACCAAGGGATTTGGGGAGTTTGAATGGAGTTGGCTGTATGAAGCTGTCATTGTAGTGGGCTGGAAAACTCGACGTGTTTAGTTTCATGGTGTTTCGGAACTACTAGAACCTATACCTACAGGCTCTCCACATGCGCAGCTTAAAAATAAATGCACAATTGTTAGCAAGACGCTAACATCAG